GCTAACGGGCACTGCAATTATCAGCATGAACGTTGTAATATTACGACGTTGCATATGAAGTTTTTCTTTTTATGCAGAGTGTTGCAGTTATTAACATGAAAAATATTTATTATATAAAACTAACTTTAGGAAGTTTTATCGTCTTATACGAGGAATCTCTGGCACAAAATCAGATTACGACACGATTACATATATGGATTACGTTACTCGTATTGTTCATCGAAGAAGAAAAGTATAATAATATTGTCCCTATTGTACTGAAATCGATCTGATTAGATAGAAGTCGTAGCGATAAATTTCGTTGGACAGTTGTTTCAGCTGCGACTGAAGTTTCCTCGAAAGAGTGACTCGACGCCGCAGAGCAGTGGTTCTCAAAATTCGTCCTTCTGCGAATCTCCTCGACAAAGAAAACTTTTTAGCAAACTTCGCTAGAATAGAACTGACTTATTATTTCATTCGGTACATTTTAAAACTGTCTTTTAAAGGCATCTGTCAATGTCTCGAAAATTTTTATTCGATTTACATGATTTCATATTTTTTAATTTGAACCTTCCAGCAACACAGTGTACAAAAGTGAATATGAAAAAAATTAACAAAATCTGTTTCGTTGCAAACGAAAAATCTAATAAATCTTGCTTTCCTTGAAATTGCTGGCGGAAACCAAATGAAAAATTTTTAATCTTTTATGATTATTTGTACTATTAATGTCGATAAACGTTTTGACGAATTTAAGATTTTAACGAAACGAAATTCTATGGAAAGCATTCTTTTTAATTTGATAATTTGAGAAGCACTGCTGCAAAGAGCGAAAAAAGGAGCTCGGCCGTCAACCGATAGTAATTTCCGAGTGGCAGTTTCGCGTTTTCGGCATTCCGATGTGAAACGCAATTATTCTACGTCGTCGACCATCGTCACCGTGAAACTTTTCACGCGCAATACGAGTTACGGTAATGTCAATCAGGCTGTCGCAGACGTAGAACGGAATAATGGCATCAGAGGCTCGTGGGTGATAGAGTATAGACGAACGATTACACGAAAAATTCTCTTAAACTGATTTGGACTTGATAATTAAAAATTATTCGAATATAATTATCCTCTTCACGGACGGTTTTTTTTTTTATCTATTTATTGTTGACAGTAACTATAATTATAAAAAAAAAAACTAAACGTCCACATATGTGGCCAAAGGCGTAAAGATGATAAGTTTGGTCATTTTCGTTGCGAGGACCTTGTTTATCAGATTAAAACAATCTGTTTGATATTGATAAAGCAAAAGCATAAAAAGTTTATTCTTCTGGTTTTGTTCATTAGATAGCGGATAACGCCGAGGCTTGTTCCGCGCGAGCAGCTTCCGGAAGTGGTGGGGGATAACTTTATGACAACTTGGTAGACACAAATCACGACAACCTATTTATTGTTCGTTCAACTTGAGGATGCGTACGGGTGAACAAAACTACGTATCTGTCACAGAACCGTATTGACAGGTGGCTGGTTCCCGAATGGATATAGATACAATAGTGTCTCGCAGGTTGTCACCGATATTTTCCCAACACCATTAATTGTATTGCACTTGCTCTTGTAAGGAGAATGTCAGACCTGAACCTCGTCGAATATTTTAATAATATTCTGCAGGCTTGTAGATTCGTATGTACAAAAACAATAACACGAGTTGTAGCCGTAGATGGTCAGTTAGTTATGAAAAAAATAAGTATGAAACTTGACAAGATCGGCCACTTGTGGAAAAAATTTTAATGGGAGATTTTAGAGGCCAAAATAAGACGAAAATCAAGAATACCAATTTATTGATCGAGGCTTTGTTTAAAAGTTAATAACGTTTAAAGTTCCGCCTGTAGAACGGTTATCTGCGAACAGCTGCTAGTGGTTCTCATGCTGAGTGAGAACTACTATCGCATGAACGCAGCCGTTCTACAGACGGAACTTTAAACGTTAATAACATTTTAACGAAGCCTCGATCAAAAAATTGGTATTCTTGATTTTCGTCTTATTTTGGTCTTTAGAATCTCCCATTAAAATTTTTCCCAGGGGTGGCCAAACACCCTGTATATTTTTATAGTAACATTTCGTTGTGGGTTGAACTTTTTTCATTGTTTCGTTTATTCTGTGATCTATCTCAAGTAACACATTGAATACTAAACAAAGAGTAGAAGATTTCTCGAGAGGATCTTTCGAAACTCCTTCCGCGGTATGTGTAACAGCGCCGGATCTCGCAGCGGGCCGAGATACTCGAGGCAAATCTTAATCTCTTTCGGACGATCGGGCTCGTATCGTCGTATCTACCGTAGGACGCAGAAATCTCGTTATAGACACCGGAGGGTGTGTAATTGGATTAATTTGGGAACGTTGCTCCAATTCGGAATCACGATTTATCGAGTTACGCGCATGCAAGAAGACTTTCAAACTAGCACGATCGATGTTCCAGTCGTTGGATTCCGAGGACGTCGAAACTCATTCACGGCTGAACATCGGTTCCCGGGTCTCGTTGCAATTTCTATTTCGACGCGGAGATCCGCGACGGTTCTGTAAAGTTTTGGGATGATAGAATTCCCTCGACACGCGATCGAGGACTCGTCTACTGTGCTGTGTAGGAATTCACGTTGAAGGCAGAGACGAGCAAAAAATTCTTCTATCGAGAAAATTTTTTAATAACACGTAAAAGATAATTAACTTATTCGTGACACGTTGAAGAAAGATTAAAATTCAAAATCTGTGTGTTTGCGATTTCCCTATAATTCTCGCTACTTTTGTTCAATCCATAATTTAATTCAAAATAAAAGTACGAAGACATGGTGTAACGCGTGTTTCAGCACTGGTAGATTGCACCAACCGGAAGTAGAAAGGTAGAGTGGGAAAACGTTAAATTGCATTTGGTTAAGATCTCTAATTCTCATGTACTAGGTGGTCTGTAAAATGAAGTGTTTTACATTGAATAGATAAAAATTTTAAATACTGAAAAGATTTAATAACAAATGATTCTTTGTCCTTGTTTCGTTGCAGAACTCACGAATACGTATGGATCAACGTACTATTGGGCTTATTTGAATAACGAACAACCAAAGAAACCAACGTATAACACTATAAATATTTAATTTTATGATTGAAATTTTCATTTTTATTAAACGAGTTACGGTTAACGCTTTGATTGTCACGTCACCCATATATGGATGACAAGATTTACATTAAAACGTTGAGGGAAATTGGATAGAATTTGTGAATTATCACAAAGTTACAAAAATAAGTACTGAAAAAAATTTTAGGTTATCCAGCTTACAATGATCTAAAATCAAAAGTTTACTTTCGCACAAATATTGTACGGTTTTGATCTAGCAGTGAACGTGTTAAACAGTTCATTCTTTTCCCGTCATTCGAAATGGTTATCTGGATATGAATTTTGCTTATTTTCGTTTCAACGTTCGAATTCGAAGGAAAAAGGAAGAAGTAAAAACGCAATCGTTTCCCAAGTGAAAGTATGAAGCATGAGTGAACACCGGTCGAATCCAGGAAAGAAAACGGCTGGTTAGTGAACCAAAACAATTTTTGTTAGCGATGGTAACTATAGAGACGAAAGAATCGGCGCGAAAGTGAGGAGAATTTTATGGGGGCAGCACGCTCGATCAACGCCGCGGCGTCGTCATCTTGGAGTTTGAGTGACAAATCCATTCATACGAAAAAGTATTGCGGTCTTTTGGAAAAACATTCTGAAAAAGGCTTAAAAGTTTCCACCCATGATTCGAATGGTATATCCTGTAGGGAGATTGCGCCAACGAACTGTTTTAAACACGGCGTTACGTACAATTAGCAGATTAGATATCGCGGAACTCTGTGCCAGTTTTCTCCCCTAATCGCCGCGGGACGATAAACATCGTTGCCTCGAAATTTCGTCTCCCAGCGTGAACACACACAGTTCACCCAGTTTTCTCGCTTCCGTGACCGACATTCTCACGATTCTCCTCCGGTTAGAACGAGATGCTTATCGTTCGTCGGTTGCTCGTCACGGGAGGATGTTCGCACTCAGGTTCGTTCCTCTATTGTTGGCCGTCCAGGTGCAAAAATAATATGGTTGCCCTTATTAATATATTTATTTAATTAAGAATTTCATTCGACATTGAAAAATCGATATAACGGGAGATTTTGTTAATCTCAAAAACCAGTGGTCCGATTTAAATGATTTTCATTGCCGGATTCCTTAGAATCTCTAGACTGTTATTTCGTCACGCTATCTTATCGGTGGGAAGGGGAGCTGAACAGTCAGGAAAAATGTTGGACAAATTGGAAAATGAACACGCCCTTTATGTCTGAACATACGTTAGTTGTTTAATTCATTAGAAGATAAATGACGAAGTAATCAATTTTAAACAGTCGATATGCTTATACTTCCCCACTACTTAAATTATGTAAAAAACAAACACAAAATGTACAGTCATTCGTTTCGTTCGTGTTACTTAAGGTTCATGTTATTCAACAGCTTCTTGCTCGGTGACCTTAGCTATTTAATTTCACATTAACCGACAAATGAACGTTGAACGTCCGAAACCCGTTCAGCATGCTCGACGAGGTAGCAGAGCAGCTTGTATAGCGACATTATGTAATCCGGTAATTCAAACAATCCACAGTTGTCGCTTTTCTCTAACATTCAGTTGCGCGTGAATACAGATTGCGTTCTTTCTATCGGCGCGATGACAGGAAAACGCAGCGTTGCCGAGCCTAAATACTGTACAGAAATTAGAATGGATCGTTTCATAGGGAATCGGACAGTTTTCTAACCCTTTACGGCCCGACAAAATTTAATACGTTGACTTCCATGCCAAATTTTCTAGAACATAAATAATGCTTGTAAGTTCAATAATGCACTTGATATTTTATGGCATTCTTAATGTTATTCAAAATCTTGCAAATATTAAGGTTCGTTTGTTGTGAGTAGTTTAAAAAAACATAACCATGCCAGCCACCGTTCGAATCTAATGACGTAAAATGGTCAGTAGGTGTCGTATCGGTTCCGTCACCGTAGCAGAATCCACCGAAGCAGTCGTGGACGAAGTCAAAATTCTGACGACCTAGATCAGGTTCATGGACTTCTTAACAAGAGCTCATCTCGACCCAGATGGCCGCGAATGCGTTAACGATCACTTGTTGCGAGCGGAACTCGTCTTTCTCCGGAAGCAGAAACGCGGAAGAGGCGATAAAACATCCGTGTAGCGATGTCGACGGAGAAACAGACGCAGCACAACAATGCTCGGTGACGCGATCGTTGGAAGGAATCGTGCGAATCGATCTCTCGAGAGCGAGCGAAACGTTTCGCTCGGCCGCTTCTCTTTTCTACTCTGTTTACCGTGTTTCTGGTTTCGGAACGGAACGTTTGAAATTTGAGACGGAACGGGTCGTGTCTTGTGCTTGGAACGCGAAGGTGAGACCCTAAATACTTGGAATTTGGGTCGATCGGTTCCAAGAACTCTGCTTCGGTACGCAGATGTTCAATTCTTGTCACGTTTTGCCCGATTCAACCCCATTGTACTATTTCCTGACGCAAGCAGTGATTTATTGACAACTAGACGGCCAATTGAACCAGCCGCGCTTAGGCGTTTATTCACCGTAATCAAGGTTAGGTATCGGAGTCGGTCTGTTATTATTTAAGATTCTACTTAAATCTCTAAGGCCGTTAGCTTGTTTGGCCCATACGAAAAGTTCCTCCTCGTCTCTCAACTATGCCAATACATAAAGTTTATTAGTTTACAAGAAATGTACAGGAATCTCTTAACACGTTTTCATTGCGATGCAAAGTGATATGAATGCTATGACATTCAAATTTATAAGCCACGTTATCGTGCATTCAATTCTATGCAGTTTTCATTTGTTTAAATCATCTGTTCATTTTTGTAGCTCATTAAAATTTGTACTGTCCGCGAACGTGTTAAGAATTGTAATAAATATTCTATTTTCAATCTCTGTTACGAATTCCTGAACATTAAATGATTATAAATGTGATTACAATTATATTTTGTAAGCGTAATCGTGCTCGGTGGCGATCAAGGATCACAGAAAGTAATCTGTAATTATAATTGGTAATAACATTTTGTAATTGTAAGCGTTAATCGTTGGTTAAATCACATTGTGTTTGACTTTCCGCTGCGTCAACCTGCGCTCCACGTACGCCTAGCCTTACGGTAGTCGAAGCAGGGTCGAGCGGAGGGTAACCCGTCGATTGGGAAACGTGATTAACGAGCAATTAGAGCCCGTAGTGTCAATCGCTAAAATTAACCTTTGCTCGGAGCAGACCGGATTGCCTATTAACAAACGGCAGAAAGAGAGAGAGAGACCCACTAATCAGTTCATGGCCATTAGTCTCGGAAACTGAAGCAATGCAAGCTGCCTGATAGTCAGAAACGGGCGACATTTTATTCGAATTATAAATTTATTAACTTAAAACTTTAAAATTCGGAATATTTATGAAATACACAATATTGCGCTATTTCTGTAATGGGGCTACTTTCACAATAACACCTATGACTATATGCACCCTAGATAAAACAGGTTATGCGAGTGCATTTAATGAAATATTAAGGATAGCACTTTATATTTCAATCGATATTTGGCAGCATAGGATAATGCATATAAAAATAAATGAGAGTCTGTTGTAAAGAAATTTGGCACCTTATACGGAGTGTTTGGCTACTGTCGTAAGAAACTTTTAAGGATCGATTCAATGCGCCGCAATAAGACAGAGATCAAGAACGACGAAATTGTATTTGAGGTTAGGTGTGGGTTATTAATTGCTGAAAATACGTAAAAAATACATTAAGATTTCTTTTAATTTTTATTTTATTAGATAAGATAGAGAAAAATTTTATTTTATTTGACAGTGACAGAGGTTGTGCAACGTTGGGATAGACAAAGCCTTATCGACAAGTTTGACTGACAGTCTGGAACGAAACGTGAAAGAGATTGGGAACCTTGCATCTGACTTTGCTACGGAGTCGCGGATAATATTGTGTTTGACTAATTCTCGTCAGAAACTGAGCTGGCGCAGTTAATTCCACTTACTGTTTACAATCAACTCTTTATATCTCGTGTATGACCATGCTCACTGTTTAGTGGTAGCACTAATGACTTTTATCATATACATCGACATCGTTGATATTACATTAAAAAAAAAATCAAATCAAATATATTCTTCGTTGGAAATGTAACTTGTCGCGCTTTCACAAGCGCTCGATCGACCTCTCGGTTGCTATACATACATGTATACAGGATGTTCGGCCACTCCTGGGAAAAATTTTAATGGGAGATTCTAGAGGCCAAAATAAGACGAAAATCAAGAATACCAATTTGTTGATGCTTTGTTAAAAAGTTATTAACGTTTAAAGTTCCGCCCGTACTGTCCTTTTTTTCTCGAAAATGCGCAAAACTTCGGGGATATGTCTATTCACCAAAAATGATTGTAATTGACCCCCGCAACCGAAAATAATTTTTTCAGAACGATTTGAAATTTTTTTTTTCCGTCGAAAAAGTTAGGCACCTAATTAGATTTTCGGTAAGGAATTTTTTTTTCGAAAGTAGATAGGATTTCGGAGGTATGTATTTCTTAGGCAGTCCACTAGCAGGCCCGGACGAAACGTGCCCCCTCCTTTCCTTTTCTGACCTCCTACGATTCTCACGAGTTCCTGCCCGCGGCAAAGCAGCGCCACAAGCTGTTGAAAGTGAAAAAATTTAAGGCGTTCCGGAACCGATACCAGGAAAGTTATGCATCAACATTATTATTTGGTTGGTTGTAAAAGAATGGTAAAAAAAAGAGGTAAATGGAATATTAACTTCCACCAGAATTTCATCCAAATCCTATAAAACGATGTTTCTCTGAAAACCACCGTCCGTCTGTGTATTTTGTCCCTGTACCCTCTCTCTGTTGTCTGTGCCAGGACAATGGTCCATTAGTCACGTGAACACGCGGGAATTATCGGCCGTCGACGTGGACCGAGTGCCGCTCGAAACGCAATGCTCGACGAGAGTACGTTGAGAAGATTGATTTAGAGCTCGGACTAACGCGTGCCAAGTACCACCAGCGGCTTTTCAAACGACAATAGAAAAACTGGCTTAACTCGGACCCAACTTCGATCCGTTGTGAAAAATATTGGCTCTCGAAAAACGACTGACCACCATGCCCCCCCCCCCCCTTCCACCATCGATCGCCATATTGTTCGTGAATCACGATCGGGAATGTGACGTTGGACAATCAGAATCTACTGCCTTGTCAATAGTGATTCTATCGTGTCAATTCGTGATAACGTTGAAACTTGATAATACGCGTAGTAAATAGCCAAGAAACAAAGCAAAGTTACTTGATAATTATTAACAGTATTATTTATCGGTATCGATCCTATCTCTACCTGTGCCTCCTGCTTTGAAAGACGCTACTTTAAATAGCAAACGCTTGTCCGGTACCTCGCTACCCGTGTCGTCATCTGCTCTTGAATGTACGGGTCGAGGTTATCTGGTCAGCCAGAAAATGGGATATTTAAGTGAGTAATCGATGGCCGGTTGCTCAATTACAGTCTCGGAGTGACTCACCACGAGAAACGTGGAGAACAGAATTTTTAGAACAACACGGGGGCCATACTGTGGGCGTTTCACAATCCGAGTTTCACATAAATACTTCGGTATCGACTTTATTATACTATCTGCAACGATGAACAGGCTCGATTCGACATTAATCTCCATTACGCAACATAACCTCGCCGATAGAACGCTCGAGTCCAAAGCCGCCAATTTTTTGCCAATTTTTTCGTTTACCATTTGTTGTCACATGATTACTAAGTAACTTTTATTGAAAAATTTTTTTGTCAGTTTATCGAGAATCCTTGACAAAATCTAATTAATCACTGGAGTACATAGAATATAGGGTTAAAGAATAAGAAATTAACGTTTATTTGAATTTTTTAAATCAATTATATATTATATTATGCCTACATCTCAGTTAGAGACAGTAATCGTATCTGATTGAAGACGCGATTCATCTATTGTTATACAGGGTGAAGGATATGAACTAGCCTCAACGATTTTCCAGCCCCTTTTCATGATCTGACAAAAAAATGTTTCCTATTGAAATTAATCAGCATCTAACTGACAAGAAATTGCACTTGCTTAAATTTAAAAACAAATTAATTTCTGACCTGACTCGAATATGTGCTGAAATTTTTCGGTGAAAAAAAATTTTTCAAATCGTTCTACAAAAATTATTTTCCGTTGCAGGAGTTGATTATAATCATTTTTGGTCATTACACATACCCCCGAAATCCTACGCATTTTCAAAAAAAAATTCAGTACGGGCGGAACTATAAACGTTAATAACTTTTTAACAAAGCCTCCATCAACAAATTGGTATTCTTGATTTTCGTCTTATTTTGACCTCTAAAATCTCCCATTAAAATTTTCCCCAGGGGTGGTCGAACACCCTGTATATGGGAGTTCGGAACAAAACTAATAATTCCTAAACTATTCAATTTTCGACTTAAGGCCTCTAATACTTTTGTTAAGAGGATACAAAGATACATCGATTTATGAAAAAAAAAAAAAAAAATACACTTTTACTAACAAAATTAAGGTGATCTTAATTTTTTATTGCATAAAAAGATTTTTATTATGAGAAAAATCAGCACCGTTTACAAAAGAGATTTTGCGTTTCACTATTGATGGAGTGAGAAAGGAATGGCTTTGCCACGTAGCTGTGCTGACACAGCTCAAGACCGTTTTTGAGTCGTTGATCGCTGGAGGTGTAAAAAGATAATATCGCCATATTAATTTATTTTTATAGGCGTTACACAAGGGAATATCAACAAAAAAAAATGAAAAATCTTTACGGATATCATAGTAGTAATAATTGTGCGCATCGAGAATCATCAACGTCGAAATCTGAGCACGTCACTGGAGGAAGAAAAGATTCGCCTTGGTCCCCTAACGAAGCAAGAAGAGTAGGGACGCACAAAAAAATCTGGTACAGTTACTCGCAGACCGGTCATGCTCTCTTGACTGTAACCAGTTGCACCTGGATGCGCCGCAACGTCAGGGTGCGCGA